AAAACAAAGAGACAATTCTGAAAGCTGCAAAAGAGAAACAACAAGTCACATATAAAGGAAAACCCATTAGGATTATAGCTGACTTTTCAGTGCAAACTATGAAAGCCAGAAGAGCCTGGACCAAAGCATTCCCAGTTTTAAACGACCACAGATGACAACCCAGATTACTATACCCAGCCAAAATGTCTATTATACTCAAAGGGGAAAGAAATATCTTCCATGACATAAATAGACTGAAGGAATTCATGTCCATAAAACCAGCCCTTCAGAGAGTTACGGAAGCAATACAAAGAGCTGAAGAAAGGAACAACTATATCCAAGGGGTTGCGGAAAGAAATTCAATGAAGGTATAACTGTGGAAAAGTACAGCTATATCAAGAATGTAAACAGAAATAAAAATGACAGGATTCAATACTCATCTTTCATTAATAACTTTAAATATTAACAGACTGAACTCCCCAGTCAAAAGACACAGACTAGGTGAATGGATTAAGAAACAAAACCCAAGGCAGGCATGGTGGCACACACCTCTAGTCCCAGCACTTGGGAGGCAGAGCCAGGCATATCTCTGTGAGTTCAAGGCCAACCTGATCTACATAGTGAGTTCCAGGACAACTGGGGCTACAGGGAGACCCTGCTTCAAAAAGACAAAAAGAAAAAAAAAAGAACCAAAACCCATCTTTTTGTTGTCTGCAAAAAACTAATCTCACTTTCAAGGACAGACACTATCTTAAAGAGAAAGGACGGGAAAAAAATATATACCAAGCAAATGGTACTAAGAAAAAAGCAGGTGTAGCAATTCTAATATCTGACAAAATAGACTTTAAACTGAAACTAACCAGAAAAGACAAAGAGGGCTATTTCATTTTGATCAAAGGAACAATCAATCAAGAAGATATTACAATCATGAACATGTATTCACCAAACTCTGGTGCACCCAACTTCATAAAAACAATACTACAGGACTTTAAGACCCAGATAAATCCCAACTCATTAATAGTAGAGGACTTCAATATCCCACTGTCTCCATTAGATAGGTCAACAGGGCAGACACTTAACGGAGAGACATCTGAATTAATACCATATATCAAATGGACTTAACATATCTACCGAGTATACCACCCAAGCACCAAAGGACATACTTTCTACTCAGCACCAAATGGAACCTTCTCCAAAATCAACCATATACTGGGGGCACAAAACAAACCTCAACAAATCCAAAAGATTGGAATAATTCCATGCATTCTATCAGACCATAATGCAATAAAGTTTACAGTCAAAACTGGAAGAAGCCCTAATCACCACATGAATGCATGGAGATTAAACAACACACTCCTGAATGATGAATGGGTCAAAAGAGAAATTAAGAAAGAAATAAAAGTATTCCTGGAATTAATGAAAAGGACAATACAACACAACAAAACCTCTGGGACACGCTGAAGGCAGTCCTTAGAGGGAAGTTTAGAGCTCTAAGTGCCTACATCAAAAAATTGGAAAGAACACAAATAAATGACTTAACATTGCAAC